TGATCCATTTCAGCAGGTTCAGTCCCATGACTGGGCTTCATTCTCTCGGCACTGGTCCTTAAGGGGTTAATGAAACATATTTAATGACTGCTCATAAACAACTAGAACTATAAAGATTAAAGAATGACTTGATGTTATTCATTAAAATTTAAGGTTGATCTTTACATTATGGTAACTTGGCGATAATTTGGCAACCAACTCTCCTACAGCAACCCTCTATTTTTTTTCCCCGCCGCCATTTTGTCTTCACGAAGTAAAGACATGTTTCTTTTCTTTTTATCTACTGAACACTTCTTCCAAAAATCTAGTAGCCGAATTACACTTATGCTAGAAATTTTATCAAACAAAACTGCTTAATCATGACAAATATTCACTGCAAAATTGGGAAAAAGTGCACAATACCATACTCCTTACGCGTTTTTCAAAATAACACATACACATAAACCATGTACACGGCGACTCATTTTTACTTAAAAAAACATCCCAGAATTGCACAAAAATGGCATTGCGCACACTCTTCACTATATCCATGTACACTGCTTTTTTCTCATAAATTAGAAAAATTTCACGAAAATACATGACAATTTTCTCAATCTTTAAACCCGGTAAAAAGAACATATATGAAATTACCTGATCGCGGAAAAGTATTTACCATTTACAAATATGAACATTTCCACATATAAAATAAATAAATATCCAAAAACTTTTACCTCTAAATCATCTATTACATTATACACGTCACCAACGAATTCATACCGCAAGCATTACAAATACTTAGTATCAAATATTTAAATTATTTCCATGCACGTTTATTTCAACTTAAACGTATACCAAATTCCTACAAACATAAAATTCACAAAATAACTATCATTTCATTAAAATATAATTAAATTCAAAACACTACTTAAAATATAAATGAGCACATACATTAAATTAATAAAAATTACCTTACAATCCTAATTACTTTAAAAAATCATTGCTAATAACAATTTTCCCAATAATACCAAATTCCTTTCCACCTTACATTTAGAACAATGCATAAAAATAATATCCTCAAATAATTAAAAATACTAACTTCCCTAATCTTCTTCAGAATCTTGATTACGTGGTGGATACCACTTTTCTAATTCATTCAATAAAATTATTGAAAGATTTTTTCTGCGAATTTTTCCTCCATACTTCCTCCGCTAAATAAAAAGCAAACTTCTCTTTATCACAATGCCTAAATACCCATTTCGAATTTACTTTAGTTAGGGCCATGAGATCCAAAAATTAAACAACACTGTTTCACACAACACAGAATAAAGCTAAATACAAAATTTCCACATTTTTTCCCGATTAAAGAACCGTAATTCGTCCATTAATATCACATGAATATCCCATGATCTCTCATTTCCCTCACGCAAAATAATGCGTAATTGGAACTGAGTACTGCTCACATTATTACCAAAGTCCCAGGTAGTAACCTTTATCGTCTCCAAAATATCGCCAAACTACCAGTTACCATATTGTAAAGATAACCAAATTCTGAAATAAAAATTTCAGCTGAAATTGTCTGAAATAAAAAGCAATTATGATCTAAAGAGTATCAAAATTTACTAAGAAAAGCTTAATATTTATTTGTTTACTTTATTAAACATTTCTTTCGATGTAAGTTGTTTACTGTTCAAGTCCCGTCATTGCTGTGTTGAGAATACCGACTAACTTGCAATAGAAATTTTTTCGTTTTCAATAACCTCTCTGTCACTTTCTTCACAATTGGAAGTGTGCATGGGTAAACGCTTTATGCGCATGCGTGCATTAAAAGCACATGCGTATGTTTGTGGCTTTGAGGTCCAGATTATAGATCATTACGGATAATGGACGTCCGGATTACAGACTTTGTACTGTATACAAAATATATTAAGGTTTATAATTTTTTTCTCCCCAAAATAAAAATATTTGTGATAAAAAATTCTGCAACAATCTGAAACAAATTTAGTATTATTAAAGGAGGTCCTACTAATCCTTCCAATTTGAAGGCGGCCTTGAAATTACTCAATATTTGTACACAATACATTGCATCTGCATATACGAAATATAAAACCATTAAAAAAATTAAGTTTTTAATTAACAAATCTATATTTACTAATTCTTCTCAATTTCAATCTAATTCTATACACAGTTCAGTTCAGTACACTAAAGAACAGAACTATTGAATTTTGTACATAAAACATATCATTGGTGTCATATGCTTCGCATATAAAAAAATTCCAATTTACAACAGTAATTGTTTTATTCTTGACATATATATGCAGATTTTATAGTATTTAAGGTATTATCTTACCACCCATGAAACTGTCGCTGAGCAGCATAATTTACAGCTGATTATGGATAAGAGTGGCATAATATTTGCACTTTTGTTTGATGCATCACCGAGTCTCGAAAAGCCAGGTTTTGTTTTCATGAATAAAGACATAAATTAACTGTTATGGCTATATTTTTCCCTTCCATTTTGAGAAACATTAATTCGAGGGGTATCAAATCATATTTGTGACTGTGCTGCTGTTTATTTACTAAGCAAATTAACATCTGTGGAATGGAAAAATGGATAATTGGATACTGCCAACACAGTAATACAATAGAATATTCACCTGCAGAAAATTCAAATTCATAGCGATCTAAATGCATCTTTTGGTAAAATCAGAGGAGCCAACTAAATAATAGAAAATGTAAAAGTCTTTTGACGAAGAGCACAAATAAAGTGGGTCGAATACTTTGTTATAAAAACTGTAGCTATAAGTGAGGCTCGAAATTCCACAAGAACAATTGACATAATTTTGTCAGAATCTCTATTGTCTTTCATAATCGATAGGATAATATGCAAATACTGATTTTATCAAATAGTTCTCAAAGAAGTGAATTCTAAATAACTGGATATTTTGAATTATACATTTTTTAAAAGGAATTTCAAGAAAAATATATTCATTTTGCAGAAGGCTTTTAGCTTATTAAATAGATGAAATATATTAGTTAAAATCTCCAAACACAGTATGCACGAAATGGAGGTGGTTTCAATAATTCAATTATTTTTATGCTACATCCAGTTCTCATCGAAGTTCAACTTTTAACATCCATGACTTTCTATGATCAAACTGAAAAATTTTCTGCATTAATCATAATGAAGAGATTATCAAATTATATATGAACTCAAATAACTTTAATTATTTACTACAAAATACATTGAAACAATTAAAAATGTTAATTATGGAAATGTAATTTATCTTTAAGGAAATTAAATAAATTTACATCTAAAAAATTTAAAAAAGATAGCACTGTTAAAAAGAAATATCAAATCAATAAAAAAAAACTATTCATTCCACTAAAGAAATTTGGTATTTCAAAATAAAATTAGGCTTTCAAAAATTACACTGGGTTAAAAAAAAAAAGTATTTACTAATGCAGTTATTTTTTTAAATGTTCAACCATACAATATGGTGAATGTGATTCTAAATTACATTATTTTACCCTTATGCCCAGGGATGCTTGAAAATTACAATTTTAAACAAAAGGGTGAAGAATAGCTTACAAACAGGTGGAGAAAAAGTTAAGAAGTGATAAAATTCTATTAGATATGAAACAGATTAAATGCTTTCTGTAAGAAAACTAAAACATTACCAAAACTCATCTGTTTTCTTTTTAAGAAAAGCAATTTTTGTTTAAAGTTACAATTTAAAACAAAGTTTTAATTACTGGACAGGATTGATCTGTACATCATTTCTACTTCCTTAACTTTCTATACACAGTTCTAATGTTTCACTTCATATTTTCCCAAACTTTTCAGGTGAGTGCTAACTCTGTATATTTGGGTGAAGAACTGAAATTTATGAATAATAGATAATATATACATATAAAAATATAATCTGAATTAAAAAAAAGGAAAGAAAATAAATGACTATATTGCATGTTCATTAGAAATTAATCAAAATTTTATACATATGATATCCCAAAATATCAAAAGTTAAATGTATAACCCCAAATGTAATTGTGTACTACTGTAATACCAAAAGTTAAATTTATGATCTTTTGAAATACTTATTTACTAAACACAAAATTTCTTATTTTCACGCAATTATATATGCTCAAAGCACTCATTCATGCCTGATCACTCATTTTATTTCATCATTCTAAAGTATGAATATATAAAAGCATAATTAGTCAATATACAATCCTTGAGTTCTTAGATTACAATTAGAAAACATTAGCCTAAGTCATGCTGAAATCATCTAAGAGAATTTGATCCAAGATGAGTAAAGATTCCAGCATACTTTATATACAGTAAATTAAATACACATTATATCTTAATAAACGAAGCAAATTCTTTTATCTGTAAAATATTTAAAAAAGTATTCTTCCTAGACAGTTTGGACAGTCTGATACTTAAATATCTTCTTCGCATTAATAAATTTTCTGATATCTATGTAATGATAAAAAAAATGCAGCACATTTAACTATAAAAATTAAACTACTTCGCTAGCATAAATACTTACAGAACGTCTTTCCATTTGTGAATTATTATAAATGTACATGCGATTTAAGTAGATATAAATGGGGAAATATAAAGAGGATCTCAAATATATAAAATAGATATGCTATAAAAAATAAATAAATAGAAGAAACATATACATAGACTAGTTTGGTTTACACGCAAAATGAATTTTCTGTAGGGAAAACATTGAAAGCGTTGTACAGAACGTAAACATTGCGAGCACGATCACACTTTGTTAAATATCTACTCATTTTATGCAGTTATTTAGGAGAAATTACAGATACGACTCAAGAAGTCAGATATGACTATCAAAAATTGACCTGAGATTCAAAAACATAAAAGAAAAAAAAAAAAAGACTTAATGTTTTATTCTTAAATGGATAATACTAAAACACAATTCAGTATCTTATAAACAGGTCATTTAAATCATAAGAATCAAAGCAAACAGTTATACAAGTAATTATAAGCATACCCGCATAATATCAGCGTTAAATAAATGCTTCAATTTTCTGATGTCCATAACTTGATGGTGTGAACAAAGCATTTTTCACATGCATTAAAAGTCTAAATTCAGATCTGTTCAAAAAGGAAACTCTATATTTGAAATTTAATTATGAAGCAAATACACTTTTGCTCCTTCGAAGAGAAATTTATTACGTTCCAAAGTATAATATACACCTATTTAAAACATTCTTGAGATATTAACATTCTGTTAATAAGATATGACCAATATTTTACTTCTGCATTACACAGATGATCAGAATGTAAATTCAGACACAAACGACACCATCTTAAACTCTCGTCATCAAGTTACCGTAATCATTAATAGTAATAATTAAAAAAAAAACAAGAATTTAAATCAGTTTCATGTTATTCCATAATAATTTCAAGTATATCAAAAGGACTATAATGATTACTTATTAAAAGTTAAATTTCATCAAATTTAAAAATAAACACCGAAATATCTGCATTAAAATAGCTGAGGTCCAGAGTAAGTTTACTTATGGAGGCAATGTTAGGGCTGAGCGAAGTAGGTGTTTTTATTTATTTTGCATTGTTTGGTAATATTTTGAAATATTTTAGCAGGTTATTTATACAGAAATATGTAATGAATATCAATAAAAGCATACTATTCATTTTTTTAATAATTATAATAGATTATACTAAAGCATATTATTAAGAATTTGCTCCATACTCGAATCGAATTAAAAAAAATCATACTAGTTACTGTTTACTATTTCCGAAAGCATACCATTCTGTAAATACACTTTTTTTTTTTTTAAGTATAGAAAACCTTAATTTTAATTCTTTATAATTTTAATTTATTGTTTTTTCAAATTAAGATCTGTATTAGAGTTCGTAAATAAAATGCCGATTATTAAAATTTCGTTTCGAATAACTTTTTTGAAGGATAAGTATTTACGCAATATTGTAAGGACTTTTATTAAATAAACTTCTAGGTGATGTTTTGTAGGAAATCGATTCTAGTTCCGTCTTTAATTATGTTACATTTTATATGTTCTTTAATTTGTCTTTATTGCAGGTATTGGGAAGTTTAAATAAGAGTCAAAGTAAATTGGTAGTATTGCATAATGTGAATTACCTGTTTTTAGCTAATTCATTCCGAAATCATAATTGAATGGTAAATTTTACACAAAATTCATTGTAGTCTTCCCAATAGATGACAATTATCAACAATCCAAAACTTATCAAAGTATTTTAACTGAAGTATATCAGAGATATTATTGCTTTGAATTATTAAATTTGAAATTAAAAATACCAGATTATGTAACACGGATTAATGTGAAGCATAAGAAAATTATCTAGTTATGTATAAAACATCTGTCAAGTCCAAATGAACTTAATATTTAGGTGTAATTAGTTACCTACATATCTTGTAATTTTGACTGTAGTTATCATAGTATGTTAAATCTGAGCTGCAGTTGGATTTTAAAATCGTAAAAAAAAAAAATGCATCCTCAATTTTAAGTTTCAGTAAGGTTTAAAAGTTGAAAAAAATAGTTTAAAATGACTGGTACCTTCGGTTGATATTTGGATTATGGTAACTTGGCGATTTTTTGGCGAAAATTTGTCGACCAACTCTGCTACAGCAACCCTCTATTTTTTTTTTTGCCGCCATTTTGTCTTCACGAAGTAAAGACATGTTTCTTTTCTTTTTATTTACTGAACACTTTTTCCAACAATCTACTAGCTGAATTACACTTATGCTAGAAATTTGATGTAACAAAACTGCTTAATCATGACAAATATGAACTGCAAAATTGGAAAAAAGTGCACAATCGCAAACTCCTTGCGCGTTTTTTCAGAATAGCACATACACATAAACCATTTACACGTCGACTTATCTTTACTTAAAAAAAATCCCAGAATTGCACAAAAATGGCATTGCACACACTCTTAACTTTATCCATCTACACTGCTATTTTCTCATAAATTACAAAAATTTGCACGAAAATGCAAAAAAATTCTGTGAATCTTTAAACTCGGTAAAAAGCACATATATGAAATTACCTGATCAGGAAAAAGTATATACCTTTTCCAAGGATGAACATTTTCACGTATAAAATAAATAAAATATGCAAAAAATTTTACCTCTAAATTATCTATTATATTATAAACGTCACCAACGAATTCATACTGCAAACATGGTTACAAATGGTTACAAATACTTAGTGTCAAATATTTAAATTATTTCCATACACGTTTACTTCAACTTAAACGTATACCAAATTCCTACAAACATAAAATTCACAAAATAACTATCATTTAATTAAAATATGACTAAACCATGTACACGTCGACTTATTTTTACTTAAAAAAAAATATCCCAGAATTGCACAAAAAATGGCATTGCGCACACTCTTCACTATATCCATGTACACTGCTTTTTTCTCATAAATTAGAAAAATTTCACGAAAATGCATGAAAATACTCAACGTATACTACTCAAACGTATTCCAAAAAAATACTACAAATATATAACTCACAAATCACGATCATTAAATTAAAATATAATTAAATTAAAAAACACTACTTAAAATATAAATAAGCACATACATTAAATTAATAAAAATTAGATTACAATCCTAATTACTTTTAACTAAATCATTGCTAATAACAATTTTCCAATAATATCATATTAATTTATTTACTCCTTACATTTAGAACAATGCGTAAAAATAATATCCTCAAATGATTAAAAATACTAACTTACCTAATCTTCATTACGTGGCACACACACTTCCACTATTTCACACAACACACAATGAAGCTTAATACAAAATAATATAATATAGTACTACAGTTTTCCAAATTCCCCCCCCCTTTTCCGATTAAAGCACTGTAATTCGTCCATTAATGTCACATGACATATCTCATGATCTCTTATTTCCCTCACACAAAATAATGCGTAATCGGAACTGAGTACTTCTCACATTATTACCAAAGTCCTAGGTAGTATCGCCTCCAAAATGTCGCCAAACTACCAGTTACCATATTCGAAAGATCAGCCGGACTTTCTGGTTATTTACATCTATCTATATGAAAAGTCAACTTACTGGCAACTGGTGAAAAATACTCGTTTGGCTATCTTTACGGCTCATAGGTACTGTTCTCACAAATGATTATAAGAAGCATTATATGAAGAACAAGAAATTTTGTACAAAAACAAAATTCTGTGGTACTGAAATTGCATTTTTGAGGCAGTTGGAATAACATTAAAATACCAATCATATAAATCAACATGTACTTAAATACATGTTTACATGTGTGTGTAAGAATTAGGTTCTTATGTACTATGACCTTGGCAACATTTGCCGATAAAAATCTTCATTGGCGTTTTTTTGTTTATGTTTCTAAATTCTTTTAAAAATAAAAGCCCTAATTATAATGGAACAAAAACTTAAAAACCAAAAATCCCAAATAAATATATATATATATACATAAACTATATTATAAATATGAGTTAAAAAATTAGAATTAAATTACTTAAAACTTGTTAAAAGAAAACGTTGAAATAAATGGTGAGGAAAGTGGTGGGAAATAGCTTTCAAAATAGCATCAAAAAGCGTTTCCTGTTTTTTCTGTAAAATAAATTCAGCTAAATAGGTATCGAAATGATGGCGGCTTGTCCCACGTTGTTGCTTGTTCCTCCATTTTGCAGAATTAATACTGAATATACTGAGGAAATTAGTGCCAAAATTTTATATTATCTGTTTTCTCATATTTTAAAAATATACAATCTCACTTGGCAGGGAGTCATATACAAGCATAACAAATCTTGTGTAAATATTGTGAACCTTTCTTTATGGTTGCTCTGTATTTTTAAAAAACCAGCTATTTTTAATGTGTTTAAGTTTTTAAATAATAGTACATTTTAGTTTTAATTATAGCTGCCCAACTAGTATAGCGGTTAGCGTCGCTGACTGCTGTGCCGAAGGGCCCAGGTTCGAATCCTATGTTAGGGTTAATTTATATAACCTACAAGGGTTGCCAGTTGTGAAATATCTAGTTGGTCGTCATAGTACGCAAGTACCAATAATTATTTAATAGTAGAGTTATGGAAGATCTCCTTTTAACTGGAAGCAAAATTAAATTGTACGCATATTTTCCTGTTGAAAAAAAAATTGTGTTAGGTATGATTCAAATTAGGAAAGTATGTGTAATCTTAACAAGCCTAAATGCTGTTTCAATTAAAAGGGGAAAATGAAACAAATGTTACTTGAAAGGATTTTTTTACCTTGATAAGTTTATAATACACTTGTTTATTTATTTTTAAAGTTGATGATTTTTGCTTGGGACAGTGACATATGGAGCTCTGTAAAAAAAAAAAAAAAAAATTGTAGTAAGAAACGCAGAGGTTTTCAGTGTCTCTAATAAAGCTGTCTCTTGTTTCTTCATTTGGATCGATCTCCATTGCGAACTGAGGCAATTCTTGTATCATTTTTAACAATTTATTAATCTTCTAAGGAACTTTATTGGTTTCATTATTTCTGCTTTCACTGTCTGCTTATCTTAAAAGATCATTCAGTTCTTTATTTATACTAATTTTTTTATCATCGTTTTCGATTAATTCATTGACTTCTCCTTCTTCCATATCTGAAAATTATTTGCTTTCGCAGTTTGTATGATTTCTTTAGCTTTATTTTAGAGTAGAAATCTTTTTAAATTTTTGCTAACTTCAGGCCAAACTTGATGCCAAGAACCATTTAATGTTGATAAACAAGCATTGAACCATATATGAATCAAATTCCAACATTGGACAAACTAAATGGGAAAAAAATAAGATAATGCATGAAAAAGTAATTTTGTGTACTAATTTTTTAAAAATTGTTTTTATTTACTGAATTAAAATTTAGTTTTTTTTTTTTTTTTTTTTTTTTTTTTTTTTTTTTTTTTGAAATTTTAAAAATCTGTAGTGAAGCTGGATTTATTGAAGTTAGGCTAGGTGAGGTATTGTTGTATACCAAACGTAAAGAAGTTTTCAGTCAACAATTTACTGCCTTGAGTATAGGAATTTATGAATTATCTAAGAATATTTAATCTTTAAATAAAAATTCTGGTACTTGTCTCGCTACTCTTCTGTCTTTGGGGCCAAGTTTAGAAATGTATTTATGTATATGCGTATCTATGTACATATATATACATACACATCTTTATGTATACATGTTCATGTACGTACTTATATACACATTAACATGAATGTATAATTCCATTCATGCATACATACATGCATTTCTGAATCCAGTCCTGATAAACAGAAGAGTACTCATCATGGACTGGGAGCTTCACAGGGCAGCAAGATACTTTTGATGACAGCTGCTGTCATGTTTTCTTTTTCCTTTTAAATTTTTACTGCCTAGCTTTTACTTACAGTATGGTTTCAAAGCAGTCAGAATGTTACTATTAAATATATTATATATTTTTCATTCACTATTCATTAAATGAAAAGGATAGATGAAAAATAAATGTGTAGTTATGGGAAATACAGGGCTGATTATTTAAAATAACATACTGAAAGTTAAGGATATAAATACAGACAGACAGGTATTTGTGAGCAAGTTATTGCAACTTTTGATATCTACCAAAGCTTTGCTTCTGGAATATGACACAAAAACCAAATTTTGTTTCCTATGTGTAATGATATATGAGCCAGTTTCATTTTGAAAGTTTTCCACAAAAGCATGCTTTCCCTTTATGCAGGTAGCTGTCGCATATTTTGCTGTCTGTCTGAAACAAAACAAGTGCAAATTAAGACAGATAAGGAAGATAAGCCTGTTATTATTTATTTAGAGTTTAAAATATTTTCTTTTTTAGTATTTTAATTTGTTTGTAATAAAATAATATATGACTGTGTCTCTTTATTTTCATACAGATAGTACAGTAAACCTATACCAGAAACTGCATAAGATAGAAACCTGTTTAGCATGAAAGAAACAGTGGAAACCAACTTATGAAGTCAGTTGTTCCATCCTGTGGTAAAATTGCTTTTCAAAATAAAGACTTGGGAGCAAAGCTAACTTAAGCATACTTTGAAAATTGAAGTGATCCATTTATTTCTGTTTCTTCATGTATTTCATAGTTTCTGTTTTCCATGTATTTATTTGGATATTTATTATCTGTTTTATTCACTTCAGAATAAATTTATGTCCAATCCAGGTAAATTTTTTCTGTTACATTTTAATTATTCCTTTCTTATATCCTTTTTAAATAAAAAAATTTAAGGTAGACAGTTACTTTTTGTCTGATTGATTTTTGTTCAAATGATTTCTAGTATCTGAAGCTTTTCAGCAAAAATATTTTTATGAAATGCAGTATTGTTTGGTAGAAGCATACTTCTTATCATTTCCCTTTGCTTTAAGGTTAGTTTTTCTCCTAAGTGTTGGCATGTAATTGTAGAAATATTGTAAACATTTTTTATTTTGTATGCTTCCTAGAATACGCATAGTAATATTATAGTAGAAAGTGCAATTAAATTTGCTTTCTTTCTCAGGTAGCACATTTCTCTAAATGCCATGATTCATAAAAGAAAAATTATTGCTTTCTGCATGTGAATATTCAAGCAAATGAGAGTATGAGTTGGATGTTTAAAAGAGACAGTCCTCTGCGGTCTAGTCTGCGGAGGAAATATTCATTTACATTGCCTCCGAAGTTACCAGAGGGTGCTTGTTTGGAGGTGTTTAGAACACACTGGCAGCAGGCATATGTCATTATGGAAAAGAATGGGTAAAGTTTAATTTCATTTACTCTTTTGTACATGTAAATCCTGTAACATAAGTTTTGATTAATTTTTTACAGTATTTATTATTTTAAATATATTCATTGAATGTTTAGTAATTAGTCATTGTAAAAAGAATTTCATAACGTATTTTCTTTTTTAAATGTTTTCTATGCATAATTAAACATTGCACTGAAGAAAATGATCTGCTCAAATTCTTAAAGACATAACGGTGGAACCTCGAGATACGAGTTTAATTCGTTCCAGCGTTGAGCTCGTACAGCGAATTTCTTGTATCTAGAAACAAATTTCTCCATTGAAAATAATGGAAATCCAATTAATCTGCTCTGCACCCCAAAAATATCAACATAAAAGCAATTTTTTCTAATAAATAACACTGGAAAATAATATAACAGTAGTTTACCTTTATGGTAGCTTCCAACACCAAATCACCTTTTAAATGCTTCTCGCTAATCCACACTAACAACAACTTCTTAACATCTTCTAGGAGTTTTGGTTGGTGCTTGGAAATGATTATAACTCCTTTGGCCACATCAAGTTTCATAATTTCTGCTCCAGAATAGTGTAGATCGTTGAAAGTCTTTTGTCAGTTCCACCACATTTACACCACGCTTATGTTTATCTATGATTTCTTTCTTAATTTCAACAGCCATGCCTTCTGTCTTTTTCTTTGCAGCACTGAAGCAACAATCTCCTTAGGAGGCATCGTGAAATAATTATTTTTACGTTAAATGTAAAAAACAAATAACTCAGAAATGCACAAACATGTAGATCAAAGAACGCTGAGTGATCTGATGAGGGGATTCCCCAAGTTGAGCTGAATCAGGAAATGTGCCATACATACCAACAGCCTGTCTTATTGCTTGTTACTCAAGTCAGTGCTCGTATTTAGAGATGAATTTCTCGTATATAGAGGTACTCGTATCTTGAGGTTCCACTGTATTTTTACTTGAAAAATCAGAAAAATGGGTCAGAAGTATAATTTAAATTTCAGAGCATGGTTATAATTATTGATAATATTGTCATAATTATTAATTAATAATGGGCTTGATAGTTATTATCCGTATGAGGATTCATTTACATGTATTTGATCATTTTTCAGTTATAAAGTACTTAAGCACATCTCTCCTTACAAAATATAGGCCCACCAGCGACCGAGCGGTAAAGTTGCTGAACATTGGTAGTTCGGTCCGAGGTTCGAATCCCGCGAACGGGCTGGCTGCATGGGTGTTTTCGTGGTTTTCCCCATGTGTAACGTGTATACGAGCCAGTTTCCCTTAGAAAGTCCTCCACGAAGGCATCCCTCTTCTTAGGCAGATAGCCCCAGTGAGCTTTGCCATAATTAAATATAACACATCACCACACCACCTTACAAAATATATGGTTTGCCGTATAATGCAAAGGTTATTTTGAAAGTTTGATCATTATTAGGAGTTTGATCTGTGAACTTTCAGAACAGCCCTCACATTTGTTTTATTGGACAGCAATTGTTTACTTTTTTCATTTGTTTTCAAACCTATATTCAGTGTTTAAAAGTTATTTTTAAGGTGTAAGAAATTTTATTCCATAAAAAATTTTAATTTTAAAATTGCAGAACTTAGATTAATTTGCTTGTACTTTTCCTTTATGCAAATATCATGCTTTTTGACTTGTATGAAAGAGAAGCCAAACAGATGTCAAGACCCAATGATAGCGCTATCTGGAGACTGTGTGTAAGCAAGAAAACATGTATGATTACAGTAGTGCCACCAAAATGTATAGCAGCTGCATAACGGAAAAGTACCAATGTACTTAGACAGTCATATTTAATGAGTAATAATTTGATGCTGCCTGACAGTTAAAGAGTCTGCTTCTGTATTGCAATATCTTGAAACTGTATTCAGAATTTCTTCATTTGACTAGCGAACAAGCTCGTCAGCTGAGAAGGCTGTAGCCAAAGCGAAATCTACGAGTTCTATGTACACCTGAAAAGAAAATGTATAAAATCATTTCAGTATGAATGAAATCGGTTCATTCTTTCCAAGCAACAGCCAATTTAAAAAAAAAAAAAAATTGTTGCCAAACCAGGAAATAAAAAACTTTGACGCATCAGGTCCTATTATATCCTATGACCTATAATGTCATGATTTAAATTTAATGTAATATACCAACTTTTTCTCAATATCAAGGAAAGAATTAATGTGCCAGTAACATACTGTATCAGCTATTTTTTTAGTTTTAAACAAAAAAGTTGCAGCTGTTTATTTAAAATGCTGACATTAACTAAAAAATTTTGACATACAATGACGTCACCTGAAATCACTTGCTTTCTTGAATGTCCAAACATGACCTAATATAATAATAATATATTTAATGTTTGGCAATTTTTGTTTCATATTTTGTGAAACTTAAAAATTTATTTTTATCTTCTAAGTGAGTCTGTTGCCAATGGGAAAAATGATGGTGAAAATAAGCATTTTCAGAGTTTTTAATTAATATCTTAGCTGATTAAAGTTGTACGAAAATAAGATTGGTCGAAATGGCTTTCCACAAATTTTTGGAATATTCCTCTTTTGGAACTCAACTCCCTGCTGTTCTAGAGGACATGATGCCTTAAACAGACAGACACACACAGATTTTAATTATATTTAGAGTGTCAGCCAAGCTCAGAATAGACTTAAAAGAAAACAGCGAGACACCGGCCACGTGTATCTTACATGAACTATTTTGAGCTACTTTCCATTGCCCCATTACTGAAAAGCTTTTTGGCCTACAAACTTGCAATTTTGTATATACAATAGAGCACCTTTGAACACCTAGAACTCCAAATTTAGTTAATCTACCTCTTATAGTTATGGGATTATTAAGGTCTGAAAAGTGTCCTTTTTGATCAGTCACTCACTGACTGACTGATCAAAAACCTGGGCCACTTCTAAATGACTTAGATATTTGAAATTTTTCATTAAGGTAGATCATTAGGCATATACAAAGGAAAAAAATCTAAAACTTAAAAAAACTACATTATTATCAACGTTAAACCAAATAACACTCATAACCAGCATTTGATAACGTCACCAACAGATAGCATAACACCGGTCGCCAGTTTCCACACCACTGATACTAATCAACTGTGCCGAAAGTAAAGATTAAAAACGTTTAGAATAGATGAAATGAAAGTGCAGAGGTAGTTTGCAGGACAGACTCTTTTTTTCATTTTGGTAGTGGGTTTAGGCCTAACTATAGCAATATCGCAAAAAGAATGTAAACAGCTTTCAAAAGATAAAAGTGTTGCTGTTCAGTAACTCAGATTTAAGAAATGAAACAGATGCCAGATGCAATTAAAACAATAGAAACTAAAAAAGGAAGCGGGAGTCTATACTTTAAAATAAGATTTTAAAATTTATATTGTTAAATAATTAAAAACAGCTGTTTAAACTTGTTTACATTTTTACATCCCTTTAAAAATCTAAAACTTGAAAAAATTACATTATTTTCGAGTTTAAAGCAAATAAAATTAAAATCCATAGACCAAATTGAATGTTTAATTGAAATTATAAATAATTTTTCAGTGATCCCTGACAATGTGTTTGTTTGCCACTAAAAATATGTATAACCAGTTCAATAATACAATGTTATTGAGTATGAACAGTCAGAAAGATAACAGTCAGTCAGATAAGTTGCCAAAGGTAAAATAGATTGCCCACGGTACTTAATGAGGAATGGAATCAAAAGGAAAATTGAGGAAGATTCTTCATTAACTGCATGTTTAGAAAATGTCTTTATAGTCAAAATAGGAGCTCATGCAATGCTGCATAGGAACATAGACATTAGCATGTGGCTAGTAAATGGATCGATTGGAAAAATAGAAAAAATACTTTGGGACGTCGACAACAATAGCAAAGCAAGAAAAATTAAAATTAAATTTAGCCATAGCATAACATACGATTTAGAACAAGGGAAGAGAAAGTTTCAGATAATGAATATTGCATATGTTCACCGAAAAAATTCCCTATTTGCTTGCCATATCCAATAACAATCCATAAATCACAGTGCCCTCCTCATTATAGGTTCTACAGTATTCAGCAAAGGGCAGGCATTTCTTGCACTCTCTCAAATTAAAGCCGTTAACAGGATTTATCTCATTAATTTAGATCCAAACGAAATTAAGGCTCAAGAAAGCTTTGTAGTAAAAGTACTGTAAAAATATATTTCAAGGTACCCCTTTGGTAAAAATTGCCGATTTTTTGGCGCCAATTCATTACTTTCTTTGATATCGGATTTCTAACTCGGAGAGGTTTAATTTTCAATAGTTTATGTTTAAAAAATTTGACTTCTCCAATTAGAAATTAACTTGCTAGTTAGAAATCTGATATCAAAGAAAGTAATAAATTGTTTTTTAAAATAATTTGAAGCATGTTGTATTTTCCTAGAGCTATGATTAAAGGAACTGCTATGGAACTTGCTAAATCTGTTAGATCTTAACTCTTTTGTTGGTAAAACCGTTTACCACAAACGTCTTTTCTCCCGAACTTTGTCCCTTTTTCACATTCATGTTGTTATGATAGATATTAGTGAGCTGAATTCTTTTATTAATATTTTTTTAAATTATACTTAATTTATGAGCATTTAAGATGCTGATTTTAAGGTTTGGGTAATTATTAAGTAATTTAATTAGTATAATTTAATAATTATCGTTATCATTGTATTGCATTTTTTCTATTGAACTGTTTTAAAAATTGCCTTTTCCCAGTTTCTTCATTTGTTTTTGCATATCATTAACATTAAAAAATGAACTTAAGTTAGGATTTTAATAGAGTAAATTAGCTGTGCTAATATTTGGATTTATTTGTTAATCCTTGAATTGAGTTAGATAAGGGGGTAAGGTACTTATAATTGTCCCATAATACATTTATAAGAATGGGCCTATTTCATAATCTTTAGTCTGTCAAATAGCTCTTTGACAGTGAAAATTCCTTTTCTTAATTTCTTAATTGTTACGACACGACAATTAGCCAGAAATTAATTAATTTCCATTCACTAGTATTTTCAAAAAAAATTTTAACAGACGGTTTCGCTCAAATAAGAACTCCACAGAATACATCCCTCAAGAATTCCTAGTCCCACCCACTCCCATAAATTACTTCACACAAGTCTTACTGACTGATATTATTCAAAGCCCCCGCTGCCGCTAAAGAATTTTCGGAAACACTACACTTCTGGGTCAGACGCGAAGAGACCACTTTGCCCACTCCCAACTAGAAAGAACGTAAGTTAATACTTTAAGTTAATACTTTAATTAATAGAAAGAACGTTAACTAATACTTTTTCTGGCCTTTATATCTTCATGTACATTCACTTATCTTATTATATTTTTGATTTTTTGATTTGTTTTTACAAAGTTTGCATTATTTTTCTTATATTTTGTAATTTTCTAATGTTTATTTCAACTATTTTGAATTCTATTTCATAGTGACAATTTCCAATGTTTAATTTTTACAAATAATATTAAACTCAAATGCATAAACACGAGGGTGTCGGGGGACGGTTACTCGAGCATTATCGAAATTTTACTGCAGAAATTGCTTTTCACTCAAAATTGAATTAGCTAAAATGCTTAAGAGGAATGAGTTCTTTGGATATCAGCATTGGTTCTTAATCCCTTCTATTCACGGAAATATTTGACCTGACTTGAATTGCCGGTTTGACATCGCCTTATTGCTCGAGTAAAGGACGAAACACCTTCGTATTTATTTCTTAATTATTGTTCATTGAACGGCAGTTGCTTTGTTCCCCTTGAAAAGTCAACTAATTTCCAATCAATAACAATGATTACATGCATTTAATTTAATTCTTGCCTTTAATTTATTCCTTTTACAATTGAAATTTTATTATTGATGATTTAATTCCAGTCCCCGTTAAATATTTTTAATAATCTGCATTCAAGTTACTTCAAAACATCTTTCAAAATAGAACTTACTAAGTATGGATTCACTGTTTAAAGATAATTCTACTATAATTAAACTTAGGAGATAATATAATCAATATTAGTAAATAAATTATTATTAACTTACTTTGCAGCAATTGAGCAAGTAGTAGAATAACTTGTTTTCGCACTAAATGAATTTAAGATCATACAACATTTGATATGTATAATTTTGATATACATTCTACATTACTGTAATCTGATATTTCTGTGGATAATTTTTTTATATTTTGTTAGTAGCTCAATTAATTATGATTAAATATAGAAGTTGACTGAAGAATGATTTTTGTAGCCATTTGAAAGAAGGAATATTGTGTTGAATGTATTAAGTCTGTTTTAACTATTCTAAAGAAGCCATGTTGTCTTATTAACAACACTGCATTGAAGAATAATTTTTAATTATTATTATTACTATTTGTTGAGAATTGTTTAACTAAGTTGAATTATGAAATAACTCTTGTGAAATATAAAACAGGTCATGGCAGCAAGCTTTACCAACAGCAGATGATGTGACTAGTGTCATTAATAACCTTGACCAGATGATAACCCTTCTTTTGCAAGAAGCTCAGCAGTCAGCAGCTTGTCTCACAAATGGAAGTCCACAAACCGAACCAGAACCTACTGGTCCACTCCTGAGTTATTTATTGATGGAAGGATGTTTAGATAAATTATTGTCTTGGTCAATGCGTACTGGGGAATATGCAAATATCTTGAAATTAGAGCAGCTGAAATTTTATGAAGTAAGTTTTTTATGTTGTTACGAGTATTTAATGTGAAAAAACGTACCGTAATTTCGAGTAGATAAGCCGCCCTGGCGTATACGCAGCACACATGATAATTGACTGAAAAAAATAAAACGCCATCGGCTAAGCCGCACCGCCGTATATGCCGCAGCAAAGTATTCCAAAGCATGGCAATTAATATTCGTTCATTCAGTAATTCTCTGCCATTTTGGTGTAATCATCATTGATAACATTTACAACATAAATATAATCAGTAATATATAAATAAATAAAGAAGAAACATCTTACTTTGAACTTGACGAAAACAAACTCTGGTTATTTCTAGTATATTATTTTACGTTTTTGGTAAACTTCGTTTATCAGCATAAATTACCACATTATGAAAAAGAATACATAAATTAGATAAACAAACAGAATTTTGTATTTAAATTACATTTATTTATACAAAACCTCCAAAATCCGACTCATCGGCGTCTAATTTAAATACATTTAGCAAATGATCATCTAGGTCAGTTTCATCATTCTGTTCTAAATCACTTCTTTCAACGTCACTATCTTCAGTTTCATTTTCTTTTTCAATGATTTCCGATTTAATGAAAGTCAATATGATTGTATCAGCTGGGACTGATTGCCATTCTTTATCGACCCATAAGGCAACCTCCTCATGCGAAGCTTTTCTCATTCGTCCGGAATTCGTGAAGGAAAGGAGTCCGCTTTGCATCCATTCCTTGCACTGCTTTCGTAGTTCATGCTTGAAAGTTCTATTGATAGTGAGATCTAGTAGCTGTAAAATTTTTGTAAGCCCACCTGGTATCACTGAGGCATCAGTGCTAAGTTTTTTTGCTTCAGATCTTATTGTATCCGCTAAATGGGATCGCATTGAATCCAGAACAATGAGTCCTCGGGGTTGGAAAAAAGCACCTTTCCTTTTCCAATAAATTTCTCTCAGCCAAAACAACATTACTTCTTAACACATCCATCCTTTTTCGTTGGCGCAAATAATAACTCCTTTTGGAAAGTTTCCTTTTGGAATTGATTTTCTTTTGAAAATTATCAAAGGGGGTTAACATTTCTCCATCGGCGGCACAACCCAAAACACAAGTAAAAGAAGTCTTTTTCATTCCCGGTTGTTAACACTGAAAGTTTTTTCTCCTATTGAATGAACAGTTCTGCTCGGAGGACAGTCAAAAGTAATGGGCACTTCGTCCATATTAATTATTTTCCCTCTTTTCAAATTTTGTTCTTTAATTTTTTTTAGATGTGTACTCCAAAAAAGCTATCTTTTTTTAAAGCCAGTCCGCTGGAAGCTTTTGTCAAAATGTTGTTTTTGCCCGTACGGATAATTTCTTTCGCTACATGAACCTGAAACACAAATTAGGTCCACCAACAAAATTTTTAATGCCCATTTGTTGAGCAATTACCTTTGCTTGAAGGTGAATTCTAACTGTTGAGACTGATAATCCACTTTCTCTCTGCTCTATTGTCCATTTCTGTAAATTGTCTTCCAAAACAGTCCAGTCTATGACACCAGTTCGATTAGATCTGTTATTCTTAGGCATTTCCTCTAATTCTTCTTGTTCAGTCTTCCACCACCGAATGCATCGCTCGTCAATTTGAAATTCTTTAGCTGTAGCACAATTTCCAATTTCGCCTTTTTGAAAATAAATAACGAAACTGGAGACCTATTATATTTACCAACAGCATCTTTCATAAAATTTTTAATCCTTTTTTGCTCTAACAGGGTTCGTACGGTCCTTAAAAGTCCTTAATTTTTTCAAAAATGATTTTTGGTCCTTAAAAGTCCTTAATTTTGGCCAAAATGAATAAACGGTCCTTAATTTTGCTCATTTGACATTTCTTATCATTTCTAATGATTGCCATTCTAAGTGTGAATTACGATTTCTCATGAATATGGAATTAAAATTACACGGCTCTTAACCAATCTGTTGGCGGATTTGCATTGCAAACGATTAAAAAAAAAAAAAAAAAAAAAAAAAACAATTAGCTACCCGAACGAAAGTATCGGTGTCTGATTGGCTATTCACCCAATCTTTCGAAACAGGTGTTATCCATAAATTTAGGCAGATTGTGACGAAAGCGTGAAGCCTGGAAGTTCTTTAAGAGGCGAAAGTGATGATGAAGGTGCTCGAGAAAAAAAAGGGGGGGGGGATTCTGAAAATATTTGCCAAAATTAGAGCAATCCCAACCTGGAAGGCCACAACCCTTCCGACGCCAATAGGAACGAGATGCCTGGAAAGTGCATTTTCAATAAACTGTGGCTTCATCAAGCTGACTACAAAGACTGGATATTGATGGATGGCAATCCTTAAATGTGGTCTTTGTCTGAAACAAATTGAAATTTCTAGAATGGGAGAGTCAGCGCTGAAAATTCACATTGAAAATTAAGTTTCGTTTTATCATTTCAATTTGTTTTTTACACGGTTTTGCTTAGCTTAATTTCTGTGTTTGTTTCAATTAAGCCATAAATTAATTTTTTTTATCACCTTCTACGGAGTTTATTCTCTTTTGCACATACTATATGTATGGGATATCGGGATTATGAGTTTATTTCTGCAGAGGGTCTGTTATCGATTTCGCGGGAAATCTGTTGGCTCCATTTCGATTTTAGGTCGCCAAGGGCAAATTCGGTAACGCTAGCCGAGAAAAAGTGAAGTTCGGAAATACGTTTTGAAGCTTCAATAGACAATTAAGTATTTGGTTTAAACCTATGTTTGTTGATAGTAATGCATAATTTTTGCTAATGGCGATACAATTATTAGTTGAAAATAACTAACTAATTAAAAATTTTTTAAATATTTTTAAAGCTGAAAACAACTAATTGAAACTAATTTTCCTGAATTAACTAGACGCAAAATTAACTTTCATGAATTACTAAAGTTATTGGGTAGAAGTTTAACTGAAAATATACATTCCGTATTATATATATATATATATATATATATTTATACAGTGTACAAAGTCCGAGGTCTGGACTCGTCGGGACTTCGGCGATCCTAGATTTGAGATTTTTCCGGATATTAGATCATTTTAAATCTACTAAGATGGCACGTAGAAATTATAAAATTGAAAATATGAAATCGTGATTTATGAAATAATGAAGCATTTATGATTTAAAGGGTATCAAAATTTACCAAAAGAAAAGAGCTTAATATTTATTTGTTTACTTTATTAAACATTTCTTTCAATGTGAGTTGTTTGATTTGTTTTTTCTCTGCTAATACTTTAGACTAATACTATACATATAATTTCTTGTTCAGTTATTAAGTTCCATTGTTCAAGTCCTGTAATTGCTGTGTCGAGAATTCCGAATAACTTGTCAATCAAAATTTTTTCTCGTTCAGTAACCTCTCTGTTACTTTCTTCACTATCGGTAGCTGTATTTTCTGGATTTAGAACCATACTACAGATTTCGCCCTCCGTTAATTGATTGATGATTGGGCATTGTCATTCGCAATGAAAAACTTCTGTTTAACTTCGCTAAATTCTGCCGCCTGGTGCGGCCATGCGAGCTCTGGAGCTGGTTCTGGCTTTATGTGAATAACAAATCAGTTATTCTTAATTCAAATAGCACTAAATATAATCGTTTGTCCTATGAGTATCATTAACAAAATCTATTTTTAGCATAAGGAAAGAAATTTCTGCTAAATCTCCCCTTGTCAACATTTTAGCGCATTAAATCTGTAATCGGATAATACTCTGTTATTTGGCGTCGCTGCATGATTCATCACTCAAGTTGTCATCTGTTGATAAACATGCGGTGATGAAAGCAAAATACAATAAATAATGATTCGCGATTTCGGCATCAAGGATATAAAATATTAGTTGGTGTAAAATTAACAAATGTTTCGGTTTGAGATTATGCCAAGCAGATACGCAGCTATGGAGTCAAGTTACTAATCACACAAATTTATGCTAAAATAATTATTTCTTCAATAATGAGATATTTTATTTAGCGCCAAACTGAGATTAAGAATCGGGATTTTTTTTTTATGATGAGGAAAAAAATCTAATGCGCGTGCGTAAAGCATACCCCTTCCCTTCAAAAAAGCCCTAAAAAATTGGTTGGTGGTGGCTTTGAGGTCCAGATTTTAGATCATTCCAGATATTGGATGTCCGGATCTCGGACTTTGTACTGTATATATATATATATATATACATCTTTCAAAATATAACTTACCAGTATGGATTCACTCTTTTAAAATAATTCTACTTTAATTAAACTTAGGAGATAATATAATCAATTAATCAATATTGTTTAGGAAATAAATTATATATATATAGTAAAAAAATGTATATTTTCACTATTCAAGTATTCACTGTGACAAGTATTCTTATCTTGTCACATGAACAGGCCTCTGTGGAAAGGGGCTTCTCTGTAAATAAAGCAATTGAAATTGAAAATTTAAGTGACTCATCATACATTTTTCAACGCACAGTATTTGATTACATAAAATTTTCTGGAGGTGTTCTTAATATCGAAATTAATAAAGAAATGAGATCAGCAGCAGCTTCTGCAAGAAGTGGAGTTCTGTATTTAGAAGAACAAAAATCTTTAACTAAATCTGAAAATTCAAAGAGGAAAAGAAATATTATTGAAGAAGAAATTGATTATATGAAGCAGAAGAAAAAACTTTCTTCAAAGGGACATTAAAGACATTAATGAAGAAGTAGATGCTTTAGCAGATGAAGCTGAGACCAGCAGGAACATTGATTTGTTTATCAAAGCAAATGAACTTAGAAGAATAGTTAAAGAAAAAGAAATAGACATAAATAAATTAGATGTTAAAATAGCTGAAAAGATTTCAGATTTAAAAAAAGCACAAATGTTTTGTATCTTTTATTGTACAGTTTATTATTCTAGTATCTTTCAAAAAAACCAAGGAAATAAATTGTATGTTTACAAATCAGTTATTTTAATCTGCAAAATATTCTTACATTGTGATTATAATAGTAGTTGACTATGTTTAAATAAATAT